AAAATATAATGTTAAAATTAAGGTTGGCACGTCTCATAGAAGCCAAGGTATTGTTGAAAGATTTAATCATACTTTAGCTGAAAAATTGTTTCAATTACAGGATGCCTCTGATTTATTGTTGCCTATATCTAAGAGATCGAGAGCCTGGGTTAAAAATCTTTATATAATTATTGATAATCTTAATAATTCGGTAACTAGATTAATTGGCATGGCTCCTGCTAAAGCTATAAAAATGGAACAGATTATTTCAGCATCTTCTAAATTACGCAATGGGCCTATAGGATTTAATAAGTCTAAATTGAATTATAATACTTTAATTAGATATTTATATGAACCTGGTGAATTGGAAATAGGCCCTAAAAGAGCAACTGACTATAATTGGTTTCCTCAGATTTATTTTATCCATGAAGCTTTGGTACAAAAAAATTAGCCAATCTTGTATTGGCTAGAAGATGATGAGGGCAATGGGCCAAAGCGGTCTTTTGTCAAAGAGGAGCTCCAAGTTGTAAAAGATATAGAATTACCTCCTCAGTGAGTACTTACGATTTAAAAATTTTATAATATGAAAGATGTTCGTGAAATGCTTCAAGTTGGTGTTCCTCATCTTTTATAAATTAAGAAAATTTTTTGCTTCTTTATCGATCTAAGATTCTTTGACGAAATAGTTTTTAGCTAATTTATAATATAACTTATATAATTCCATTATGGAATTAAGAATCTTTGGATCCCGACTATAAAATTCTTTGTAGTTATCTTTGATTTTATAATATTTTTTTTCATTAGAAAATATTGTCATAGCTAAATTTAATATATATACTTCTGGGTCTTCTGCCTGGCGTAGTTTTCTAATTCTTTCTTTATAGTTTTGCATGAACTTGCCGTCTTTTGGTTTTCTTTAATAGAGGCCTGTTTTGATTACATTAATTAAAGCTTGCTCGACTTCTTTGTATGTGGGCTTGGTTTCAGTTAATTGATTTTGTGTGCTCATTGTGAGGGTGTTTACTATATAATACTTATAAAATTGTTTTATTTAAATAATAAAAAAATTTGTTAAATATATATATTATGCACGGTGAATATTTCTGCCCATTTATTAAGTTTACAGGTAAAACTTGTGGAAAGTCCTGTATACGTAAAGAAGAATGTTCTATTCATTGGAAGTATGTTAAAAAATTAGCTGATAAACAACTTTTTCCTTGTAGTGAAAGTGGATGTAAACAATATACTAGATCAAATTCTGGTCGATGCCCTATACATATAAGAGGGTACTATACCTCACAATATTATTATAAGCTTCGAAATGAAGTTGTTTTAATTCAGAAAAAAAGTGATGCTTTGATTCGAAAAGCAATTGATGATTTGCTTTTAGAGCTATCAGAAAACCAGCCTTCTTACAATTCTTGAAATTTTAGTATCTGTATTCGAAATTTTAGTATCTATATCCGAAATTTCAGTATCCCGATATCAATTTTTTTGTCCTAATTTTGGTACCAAGATTTTAGTAAATATATTTGAAATTTTGATACCCGGATCCGAAAAATAGCTATCTATGTCTGAAATTTTGGTACCCAGATATCAAAATTTTGGTATCAAGATCCGAAATATCTGAAATTTTGGTACTTGAGTATCATAATTTTGGTATGCATATCCGAAATTTTGGTATCTGTATCCCAAATTTTGGTACCCCACCATAGCGGGGTACCAAAATTTATCTTTTGCTAGATATAGTTAAATTGCTTTTTGAATTAATTCTAGAATAGCATAGAAAATAGTATGCATATTAGGCTTGAATGAGCTTGCAGAGAAGCACACTCGGACACTTCGGTCCTCGGTACTCTCTGCTCATTTCAAAGGCAATATAGCATAATTTTCTTGTTATCTTGTTTGGGATTAAAAACATAGCCAGAGCGTTAACAAAGACTAAGTACTCCTTAATGTTGAAAGCCCAAATTTAGGAGTAAGGAGAGTAAGTTAACAGGATCTGGCTCTAGCATAATTTAGAGCTTGAATTCAATATAAGATTACATATATTTAGAAGAGCTTGAAAAAGAGTAAGGAACCAATTCTGGATACATTTACAAAATTCTGACCCCAGAACCCCTTTTTGTCCTACTTAAGCCCTTGGCAATAGACCTGTCTATCCAGGAAATTCTCTCTTTTCCATTACTAATCCAAGACCGCAACCTTACAAGGGTACTGTACTGGCACTACGCAAAATATTTACCTTTGAAAAACTTCTGACAGCTACTTTGACATAGTTTTCGAACCATTACCTGATAACTCCTCTAAGCTAAATGAGAAAATTAGAGATCTTTTTCCAATTACTGAGAGATTTGCATTTCTGAATATCGGAAAAAATTGAAACATTACTACTCATTAAAAAAAGAAATTCTAACTAGTTACTTTAACCTACCTGAAGCTAAACTACAACTCCCTACTACACTACAAAACCTCAACTTGGTAGTTAGATATCTATTCCTTGCAACCCCTGAGATGTCATTAATTTCAAAAAATATATCAATATTCTCAGAGAACACTACAGTTTCAGATGAGTTCCAAATGACTTCTTCATACAAAAGAAACCACTACTAGCTGACCCCTACTCAATTCATACTATTGGAGATTATACATTTCCAATAACCGATACACACTTAGCCCAATAGTTCGTTGCAGAAATCCAGGACTCATACAAATTTAATATTCTACTCCCACTCAAATATATGACTACCAACCCTACAAACAAGCCTCCTCTTCCAACTGAACCTAATCTTATCACAGAAGTTAGCTTAACTTTACCTATAAATAGCCCAAAAGTACTAGTTGATACTGCTTATCTCCTTTGAGAACATTACTTCTTTCACTAATTATCCATCGTGTGGATTGAAATTCAAACAAACCCAGACCCTTCAACCAAACCACCACTACCAAACCAACTCTCCGAAATCACAGCCTACTTGGAACAGTTAGAACTACATCACACTATTAAGGTTCCTATCACTAAACACAACCAAATCGAAATGACAATCGCAGATCTACAGGAACATTTCAACTTTCAAGGCACCCCATCTCACTTACTCAACCTACCCAACTTATCTTACTTTGAATGGGATATCCTTAACAACTACTTTTTATTATCATGAGTGATTTTACACACAACTGCTCACCGCAAACCAGATCTGTTCCCAACAGTTCTACCTCAACACTACATACACCACCTCCTGAAAAGACACCTTTTGACATAACTGATCATATTAATATTATTATCCACAATGTTTCAGACTTAAACAACCATCTCAAATTTCAACTATTCCTTGAACACTGTACTCAACAAAACTACCACATTATTTCAATTACAGAGCCAAACTTAAAAATCAAAATTCAATAGCGGTATCAAACCCGCTATACAAAATTTATACATCTAACCACCAGCCCACTCAAAACGCACCTAGAGAGGCTAACTTTGACACTGCTATTGCTATTCACCCACAGTTACAATCATATATTCATAATATCCAAACCTATCCTGGCACAGCCTTGTGCATGGACTTTTTTTTTCTAGCAAATACCCAGCTCCGCTTGATTTCCACATACCTACTATCCAATTACTCAGACCTACGCAGAGCAACTAACAATTTAATCAATCTATGGCTCCAAGAAGCTAGGCAGAAAAGATAGCACTCCATCGTCCTAGGCGATTTTAACAACAATATAAATAGAAAAAGGACACACCACTTCATCTTCAATATTCTTGAAGCCTTATTTATGACTAGTTTGCTTGACTTCCACTCTATCCAAACATCTACGTGGAGTAGACAAAATCAACAGAGCCAAATTGATAATATATGGACCAACACTGAGATAACTTTACAGTTCAAAACACTAGAACTAATTAATGCAGATGGTATAACAGATAGTGATCACGTGTTAATCTCGACAACTTGGCAGACTTACCTTAATATACCCAAACAGTACATCAAAAAAAAACAAAGAAAAATCTTTCTTTACAAACAAATGACAAATGATAGTTGGCAGACCTTTGCAAAACTTACTAAAACAAAAATCTAGCAAAACTTACCTTAATTACTGATAACAAATACTACTATCCTCAATAAACATTGGAATATCCTTTCCAATATAATTTCACAATTAGCCATAGCCACAATACCTTATTCATATACCACATTTTAAACATTCCACACCCACTCTCTGCAAGCCACCAAACTTCATACAGCACTAAAACTAGTCAACAGTGCAATCTACAGTTGCAAAAGTATACACCCTCCTTTCTCTCTAATGTATTTATATGATACAATAAATTCTAAAATATCTAAGGCAGGCAGCTTACCCCCACAACCATTATCTGTAATACCATCTAACCAAGGCCTCACACCGACACTCATACAACTTAAAGAAATGACAAAAACAATCTGGCAAGTACACAAACTAGAAGCAGAAAAAAACTAAAAAGACAAAATCCAATACTATATCGATAAATGCTATGACGATATGCAAAACAACACAACTTGTATAATTGACAATGTATTACAATGATACACTAACCACATCACCTTTGAAAAAATAATCACCCCAACAAAATCATAAGGGAAGTGCTGTTTATTACGTAATTTAAAGGGAAGAGGGTGGTAGCGGATCTATCACGTATGATATATTGACCTAGGTTAACCAATCAAAAAATAGCACATGTATTGATTTAAATTAACTGATCAACTGATCAAAAAATAGCACATGCATTGATTTAGATTAACCAATAAAAGTAGTAATAGTTGTACATATATATAGTACATTTTAAATCAACTTTGCAACTCATAGCGTTCTCATTGAGTCAATCAGACTATTTTGTTACTTTATAGCTATTTATTTAATTACCAAGCATAAATACATATAGATTTCATTTAGAATATACCAAAATATTACAATATAAGAATTTTAAATGTACTAAAAAAAAAAGTTATAAAAAAATAAAGACATTGTATAGTGTTTTAAAGCTTCTGAACTATTTTGTATTATTTAATATTTTTTTTATTCAGTATTAGAAAGCACATTCCATGATTCAACCTCTGATAAATAGAATGAATCAGTAGAGGGTAAAGTAGAAAAGTCCTCCACAAATGCTGCATTGCTCAGTTGAATTTGATGTGTATTAAGATAATCTAGTGATGCAACAACTTCATCTGGAGAGAAATACAGTGATGTAAATTCTGGTGGAGTTAAAATAGAATTAAGGTTATGTGTAGAGGTTTGATGTGTATTAAGATAATCTAACGATGCAGCAACTTTATCTGCAAAGAAATACGCCAATATAAATTCTGGTGAAGAAATTGAAATAGAATTAAGGTTATGTGTAGAGGTTTGATTCGTATCATTTTTGCGATTTTTTTTAGAATGAAATGACTTTTTATAGTTAGTGATCATTTTTATTGTAGGAAAATATTTGCTGCATACATTGCAGCAAAGCCTTTGATGCATTTGCACTGATAATGAAGGACAAGCTTCATCATATTTTGGTAGTTTTACTTTGTCCATGTATTGTAAGGTATGAATCGGATTTAGATAGTGACCATCTTTTCCTTTTATGAGTAGTAAAAAAAATCTATTGTTTTCCTTCAATAGGTTGGCTGCTTCCTTTGCATGAATCTCACTACAACAATTTTGGTTAGAACATTTTCTTACATCAAGAGAATAATGGCAGATTTGTGTATGATGTTCTATCTATAACCATGTTACAGAATCTTTTTCATTATTTTGAAATGGATCTTCATTATGATCAACATAATTAACATGAACTTTTTTTCTATGAATATTATCATGCCCCCAAATTTTGCACAAGCACTGACCAGCAAACTTGAAGTTGCACCTTGCCAAATCTTCATTCACAACTATACTCTGACTATTAAGATATGACCCAAACTTATCAATTGGCAGCTTAATCCCAACAAGTTTTTTGGAAAAAGTATACATGCTACGTTCAATCAGATTATAAGCAGATTGTGAAGGAGCATGCGTACGAACTGAAAGATAGTCAAGATCAAGTTTATGGAAAAGACGACAATATTCAATAATATTTTTTAAATGTTTTGGGTTTTCATCAGGCCCCCCATCAACTAATAAAACTCATATAGATCTAAGGTGTCTTTTACTTTTAAATATTTGTGTATAGTTATCACTCTTTGTAATATCAATTAAATCTCTTATATGTGACATTGAAGAGGTCCTAGCAAAATATTCTGGCCTAATATAAATAAATAATTGACTTTGTTTTAGTGATTCATTTGTGTCATCAGGATTAATGATAAGGTAAACTGAAGATATAAGTTTTTGTTTTGCTCTATGAGGGAAATCGTGGTCAAAAACAGTAACAGATTCATTGAAAGATTGGAGGCTTTGAAAAGTTCTACTAACTGTTAGTATACCTAGGCTAATTTTAGCCTTATCATCTTGGAAGATGATAATGCTATTATTAGCAAAAGTTGAAGTGAACTCCCTAGCCATTTTAACTGATGCAAGACAATAGTGTTGGTCAATATGAAACTTCATCTCAGACCGAGATACTGCAGCGATTTTGATATTTGCTGGATAACGGTGACGAAGTGCATTATGTATATTGATATGCCGGGGCAAAAGGTATATTGAAAGTGTTTGACGAGCAATATAAATATTATATTTTCTTGTAAAGTTTCTTTTAAATGTTTTATAGTACGAACTTTAATTGTAGTTTTTCTTCTTTTTTTATCTGCTACACCAAATTTAATGCATTTATGCATTTGATCAAGCAATTCAGAATTCTTTTGGAACTCAGATGGACATCCTCTTGAGTCAAACATTTTAACAATACCTTTTTCCTTGAGTTGTCTTCATTTTTTTTCTCTATATTTTTCTTGCGATGCGGCATATTGTTTAAATAAACTAAGACGGTTTCTTTCCTTTTCAATAACAGTGCGGGTGTCTTTTAATTTTTCATATATTTGGCACCAAAGATCCTTATCACTAGTACTTGACAATAGATGCTCATATTCAATTACTTTGGATTCAGCTTCTTGAATTAGTATTAATGAATTTTGTTAAGCCGGTGCATTATGGGCAATAGTATTTGATAATAAAGAGCTTAACTTCAAAATTGAAGTTGATAATTTTGAACTAATTGAGTTCGAAGTTGATAATTCTGAACTAGATAAGTTGGGCAAATTGGGTGATAAAAAAAGAGATGTTGTTCGGACAATAGATGGGCTGGATATAAAATATTGATTGATTTGTCTTTTAGTTGTTGCTTCAGATTCCTTTCAATATTTTTTCCATTCTTCGTTCGCTGCATTCATCAAATCTTGTCGTTTTATACTTGGATTGCAAGATTTAACTATTATGAAAAATGCAAAAGCATTACAGAATTCTTGATATAAAGTTGTAGGATTTGCATATAAGTAAGTTTTTGAAAACTTAGGCGTTAAGAGAAAACTCTAAGCCATATTAGAACATTATATGTAATATAATAATGTTTTGAACTTAAAGATAATGTAGAGTATTTTTCTTTATTATGCTTTTATAACAAAACACATCTTTACTCTAGATTTAATAATACTTTATTTAGGAGGTTATACACAGGGGCTAATGTAAGTTTTCATTAATTCTTATTTATTATATAAACAGTTCTATCCTTCTCGCATCCGTGACTACACATTATACATATTTTATATTAATGGATTGAATTTACCCATACTAGATTTAGTACAAGAAATATTCTAAAATTCTCACCAATTAAAATAAGATAACTAGCCTCAAAATTAATATGCAACTTACTTACGTTATAGGGTATCTGTAGTTAATATTATAGGCTCGTCAGAGTTTCACGTGAGACAAAATCATGTGCCAATTACAGCAATTTATTGTCTAATAGTAAAATATAACAACGATTATATCAGGTAAATTAATTAATATAAAAAAGCTAAAAATAATAAGTAAGCAGGTGTTACATACCTGATTTGTATAAATGATATAATCAAGAATTTATTTCAATATAAAACCATTGTTCAAAGTAAGTTAAAACCGGGTTGGTACTAAATTATTTAAGCAAAAATCCAGAAAAATTTTTGGTCATTAACTCCTTTGCGATTATAAATTAGGTGTTTTGAGGGGCCGATATACTTGCTATGAGAGAAAAACCAAGGATAAGTGCCGGTAAGTATCACGTATACATAGGAGTATGTGAATTTTTTTTATTTAATAAAAAAAAAAATACATTGAACTTTTTTTTCAACCTTGCAATGAGACGAATTTCACCAAATATCAAAGAAGGTGCCAAGGTTTCTGTTTTGGGCCCTGTTGTGGGTGAAACTATTGCCCGTTCACTTTTAGGTAAATTATGAAAAACCAAACGACTTTCAGCAACTGTTATAGAATCAGGACCAGGCAAAAATTGTTGGGTAATTTTCCTTGATTTGCAGCCAGAGGCAAGAATTGAAGTTGTGGTAGGTTGAATGAAATTTGTGAGTTTTTTCACAAGTAACTCGGATACCAATCAACATATAAATGATAAATCGGAAGAAAGTGTTGGTAAAATGGATATATCAAGCGATAGTGATCGTGGTGATCAAAATGAGAGTGAGGGTAAAGAAGAAACAATAGGTTCTAGTCACATAAATAGTATATTATGGGTTAATAAAATCATTACTATTGATTTCTGTCAAGTTTTTTTCTCTTTTACTAGTACACCTGTTGTACATATTGGAGATATTACCAATGCAATGCCCAGACAGTTTTTTGAGCGTTTTATATCTGTTGATTTTATAATTTCAATAGTAATTCCGTCTACGAATAGATGTGCGCGTGAGTGTGAAAAGAGGTGGCATGATCTTACTTGGATAGAGTTTATGAAATTTATTGGTATCTTAATAATTATGACCTATGTAAAATGCACTGATATTTGTGATTATTGGTTCACAAGACAAGAAACAGAGGGGGTTTTTATGACGGTTGGGCAGTACATGTCACACCAATAGTTTCGAAAAATTATAAAATATTTGAAGCTAACCGATGTATTGGAAAGTAATAATCCTTTTTACTTTGCGTGCCAGTTTCATAATACATTTAATGAGAACCTTACAATGGCTGTTTCATCTAGTATCTATCTTTGTATTGATGAATCAATGTGCTAATGGATGGGTAAGGTGGATAAAGGTCCTTTTCAACGAAAAATACCAAGAAAACCCACCCAATCGGTTGCGAATTTAAAGCAACTGCAGATGCACAGGTTAATTTAATTGTAAGACTAGATTCTGTCGAGCCTCCCGAATATACTACAAAAAAAAAATTTTTAGACCAATACCCACCTACCATTGCATCTATATTAAGACTAACTAAACCATAGTTTCGTAGCAGTAGAACTGTTATTGGCGATTCATAGTTTGGAAGCATAGATATGTGTACTACTTTGAATAATCATGGGCTTTATTCTATCCTGCAAATAAAAAAGTGTTGTTACTGGCCTAAATATATCCCTCACGATATTACAGATGCACTTGAGGATGCATATGGATCATTTGTTAGTCAAGCTTATACAATAAATAATATTAATTTAACTGTATGTTCAATTCGTGATTGGAAAAATATTGTACTTCTCACTAATTGCTCTATGACAACACTTGGATCAGAAGTAAAACGATATATTAAAGATCATAGCAATGTAACATTTCATTATTCTGTTCTATTTGATAAGTATTGTGAATATAGATCAGCTATAGATATTCTCAATAATCTGTGTGATAACACGCTTTCTTATCATGATGTTATTTCGTCAGTACGTTTAGTTGATCATATATTTGTCTTTTACCTTTCAATTGTAGAAGCCAACAGCTTCTCCGCATATTGTCGATTTGTCTTGGAAAAACAAAATTTGAGGCATGTTGATTTCCGAAAGCAATTAGTAAAGTCAATTTTCGAGTACTATTCGGGTAGTTCGATCGCTGATTGAGCCAAAAAAAGGTGAAAACAGGCTTCAGATAATATTGAACACCACTTTACTACACTTAGTAATGGCCCTGGAACATCTCAGCTTAAAAGCAAGTATGTACAATGCCGATGTGTGGGGTGTTATAATTATACAACTACCTGTTGTAGCTGTATGATTTCACATGCAATGTGTTTGGATTGTTGGTTCTGGCATGTTTGTTTAGCATACAATATGACATAATAAAGCTAAATTTTTTTTTTTTTTTTTAGTTTAAGGTTTATTTAATTATTTTCTAAAATAAATTATAATTTTTTTTTTTGTAGAGAGCCGCCCAGCCAGATTTAAAAGTGTACTTGATTTAGTACGCCTATATTTCAAAATAATTACATCTGTAAAAATGAATTTTTTGAGATATCTATATTATAAATAAAAATAAAATTTATAGTTTTGAATAAAGTAACATATATTGGTT